TTAACGTACGTACAATACATTATTGAACATTATAGATATTATGGACATATAAATACTACATATGTAGTTCTCTCCTTTTTGTCAAATATACACTTAGGCCTATTCAATTACTTTACAATTTTAGTTTACAAGCCGAACTATCTTTTCTATTTCTATCGCACTAGTATTCTCTGTGATTTACTTACAATTGTGGCGCGAGTTACCGTAATTGTTTGGTCATCTTCCTTTTGAAGATCCCCTGTTCCTTTTGTCAAAGTGCACTCAGGCTGATTCAATTACTTTAGTACCAAGCTTTAACGGAATAAAATTATTTTTTTTCTTTTCTACTGTTAGTTTCACTAACACATTAAACGTTAGGCCTATCACTTCTACCATAGTTAATTTCACACCAACTTTATTCTCTTTTGCTATTATCTGTCTGCTGTTCCCACTCCTCTCACGCTGTTTATATTTTTATCACTTAATCGTCTGCCCCCTTGTATATTCTCGACATCAATGAATTATCAACAAAACTTTTTACAATCGTCTGCTTTTAACTCTTATTATAACAAAAACTAAACAATAATAAAATATTCACTCACAAAAATAAATAAATCATTAACATTTAAACCAAAAAGTATCTTATGTCATGACATTGACTCTTCCCCCATCGGTACAGAACAGCTTATACCAAAATTTATCTGACTGCATGATACTATAAATTGTTCAAAAGTCCAATTTCTGATGTTCTCTGTGCCACTTTGGGTACACTATTCTGTTGGCAACGGAGGCTAGTGGATTTCGGACGAGGCAACGGTTACCAAAATTCATTTTTCGCAGTTCTTTGCACCCTGTACATGTTGAAATAGATGGTTATGGATCATGCCATGTGTCAAATGCTGTACCGTTCAACGCTTACTGGTCGTCACAAACTTTGCTATCTTCTGTTTACCTCTGTCTCGGAGCAATTTCTTCCGTTCACAATTCCCCTTCTTGTAGTTTTTTTGTTGAGGTTTCTACCACATCGTTTAATCTTAAAATCGTAGCTTGCGATTTCGTATTTAGTTCCATTGATTTTATGGTCTAAGTTCCAGCTAATCAAACCCCAATAATAATGTCTCCTTTGACGTCAGACACATCCCTAGCCTTCTACATCTTAATGAAGAACAAGAACCACTAAAAACCTGTTTATGCTCGTTCAATAGCCAAGTGAGCATATTTCGTTGCTTCTTTAGGCTTCAAATTGTGGGACGGTCCAAAAACAAACAAATAAAGGGATTTCTTAATTTTTGTTTTAGCACAACGATATGTCTGCGGACTTATAACGTTAGAAACCGGGTTTCGATACCCGTGGTGCGCAAAGCACAGATAGCCCACTCTGTAGCTTTGTGCTTAATTACAAACAAATAAACTGGCGTCAAATGTCAGGTCAACATTAGTTTAAATCAACTGATATAAACTTATCGATTCACATATAATTTCAGTACACCATCTTTACTTGAATAAATGCATAAATAAAAGTGCAAATTTAATTATGAATAAATATAAAAAAATAGAAATTATTCAAAATATTTTACAGGTTTTTATTTATCATTATTACACACAAAGGTAGTATTCGTGGTTCTGCTCTTTGCAATATTTAGAGCAGAAACATTGCTACACATTGTATTTACAAGACTTGATATCTGGACCTGAAGAATTGCATTCCACTCTTGGTAAATCGCGTGATGAGGATGTTCCTAGAACTTAGTAGTTTGGGACGCTTTCACGATTGGTCTGGCCCCAGGCATAACGCGTTGACCTTCTAGCCATTGTTTTGCGACTCCGCTTACATGAAAAGACTGACTTGTTTGTTAACTTGGTTATTGGCGTAGATAGCCAGATCTTGCTCAAAAATTGTGATAATTCAAGAAGCAGTGACGTCCCTTCTCATACTTCCAGCTGTGATCGTCCATTTTCCCAAATGGCACCCCACACCACAACATAAGTACTTCCATATTATGTTGTGGCTTGCAGACCATTCAAAAGAAAGTTCCTGGGAGGACAGTCGCCAAATATAGTCGTGCCACTATCCGAGCGTCGTCGAAATCTGGATCCGTTGGAAACAAATCACGTTTTTCCAGAAGGCCGGAGTGTGTTATAGAATTTGTAATGCCAACCGCGTCGATTTACGATATTGCCTAGAGTGAGGAGTGGCTTCCGTCTAACTACTCTGTCAGTATAGCTCATGATATGAAGACAAATGCACCTATCCTGTAACGGTAACTAGCGGTTTGGACGTGGGAGGGAGGGGGGTCCTCACTTCACCCTACAGCACAAGGAGTCCGTTCTTTTTGTTTTGAGCGCCCGTGACGAGCTAGAAAGTGTTGTTTACCGACGTGACTCGAACTATATTGTCACTCTATCCACTGTGGACAAAGGCATTTCAAATGACCTGACAATTTCTGGTCAACTTTGACCACTCTCACAATGCTCAATTATGCAAACTCGTGAATATGCTGTTGATTCCTACGATCCTTTCGTTCATGACAGAATTGTTGGTATTCCGTGGTCATTATCGATTTATAAGTGTTATACATCGAGCTTATTTGCATATAGCTTCGAAGATGTGGTCAGTTTGTATTCTCTTATTTACTTATGGCAGACTGTGCATATTCAGATATAAAGTAAGAACATTTATTATCATTATCCCCAGGATAAACATGTAAACCAAACCAAAGTTGTTACAAACGAATGTGTTTATTTATTTATTTACTTCAACATAAAATTAACACATGTATGTAGAAAATTATATTTCACTAAAAGATGTTTACTGTTGCAATATTACGTACAAGTTTCGTACCTTTTCGCCTCGTCAACCTTAAATTATAGGAACGTAGAACTTGTGCATTCTGTATCTTTAGTACCCCATAGTTACCAGAATCTGAACCTCACATTAGAACTTTTTTTCTACTTTCATGAATATATAAGAGCACCAAGTTTTGGGATAGTCTTGAGTTATGAAAAAAAACAAAAAAACATTTGATGAACTGGTGTTATTATTCTATTACTCTCACGATTGTTCAAGTATTCAGAGTTTTATTTACGTGATAAATCAATATTACGGTGTAGGTGGATAAACTATTTATAATATTATATTTCTCTTATTCTTTGGTAGCGAAAGCCAGAATCTTTCATAACCAAAAATTATGGGCCTTTAAGCAAATAAATGTTTCAGTTTTGTGCAGATACAAGTTTGAATACATTATTTTTAAATGATTTTGGAGCCTCAATGTACCATTACAGTCCATATCGCCACGCCCAATCGGACTATATCTCACGACCGTACATCTTGACAACAGCTCTGCAGCGTGGTAATGCTGTCATGTCTACAACACACCTTTCCTCCCTGCACCCTTTCCATAAAACATTTGTGTGCAAGGATGACAGTTCCCCGCGCCCGTTTCAACAGTCTGATCGCAGAGAAATCCATATGATCTGTGTCCGGTGACTTGACCGGTATGAGAAATCCATACGATCTGTGTCCAGTGACTTGACCGGTATGAGAAGCTTAAACAAAAACCTCACAAAAGCAACTTATATACATGTGATCTGTGTCTCTTTTGCAGACGGAGATCCTTCTTGATTATGCTGCGTGATCAAAGTGGTCATCTGGGACCCGTGGACCGTTGTGCTCTTGACTGGGGTGCAACTTGTGGCAGGTCTCTTTCTGGAATGTCTTGATGCACCGCCCTGATCCATATTCCTTTATTTTCCAATAACAGTAAGTGCAAGGAATGTACTGATCTTGGAAATTCTAAATCTACAGGAATATATTTTTGTTAGTCAGAAAGTATAAATATGCTGTATCAGAAAAGGTTGTTACACACCTTTCCCAAAAGTGACCAATATTTGGTGGCATCACACTATCTATGTAACGACAAGTAACATCCAAATATATTTCTGATATATTACGTTCCACTGAGGATTTATATTGTCTATAGTTTCACGTAACTTGCTAATTTCGATATTTAAAATATTTTTATTATAAAGTATTTAATTCTATGTAGAATGAATTGATCTAACGTTATAGGGATATGTATTTTCCATGATGTATTATCTGCTGATGGTAAATTTTTCATAACAAACGTTCTTGACTTAAAATAAACAAGTTTCGCCTTATGTATGTAAGGCGAAATTTATAGTATGTAAACACCTCCTAACGGACACCGCAACGGACTGAAAATTGCTTGGAATCTTCTTTCTCGTTGTTGTTGTTTTTTTTAGGGGGGGGGGTAGATTCTACATCGAGAAAGTGGTCAGCTTGACAGAAGATTCTGGTAACTGAGAACACCCACACAGTCTCCACACCTAGCCCTTCCATGAGAAACATAGGTGGGAACCATAAATGATTGCAACGTGTTAAATATCAAAAAGAAAAGGTTGGCAACAGATATAGCATTATAATTCATGTGATAAGCTTTCTCCGAAACAATGATATTAAATGAAATTAAAATCGAAGAAAATTTCGCGAAGATATTCAACTAAGTTGGACATTCTGAATAGGATTATTCAAAAGTCCTTGTTAGGTCTTTAGGCTAGAGATAGGGTTTTACAATTTATCAAGAATGAGTTATGATTAGAAGCCATATAGGATACTTAATTTGAGATACTATTTTAATTAACATAAACAATATGAATATATAAAACCTCTTGCTCCAACTATGGTGTCGTGTGGCAATAATAAATAACCTGATGCAAAATGTGGGAAGTTAACAAGATTAAATATATATAAGTAATATGTTCTTCTGTATGAGAAGTTTAGCACTATGAAATGAGTTGGGGCAGCTCGGGTTTTCAAATTTCCTCGGATGGTCCAAGTTAAACCTACAATTTATCCTGGAATTATTTCTCCTTTCCTGACTTTAAAATAAGGTAAACGATTAAACTACAGGTCGGAGTCAAAAAACAGATACCTCCTGAAGACATTCTGCACTTGGAGAAGTGCACTAATTTCAATCATATTGAAAGGACAATCTTACCGTTACTATGTCGCCTTCTTTGAGAGGGAGACACTCGTGATCCGTGGGGTCGCTGAAATCTTTTATGGCTCGAGCTTGAGCAGCACTAACAATTTCTAAAAAAAGAAAATTTAAATGTGAGCAAATATTATATTTGGATTTTTGTAATTCCTATATACTAGTTATATACTCTTATTGTCGAAGAGAAACTTACAAATACCAAAATAACCATTTTTTGAGGAAACAATGTCACTTCAAATGAACGTATTTTGTTTAAAAGAAGTCCGGAATCAAATATGTCGTTACGGATTAAGAAAATTTAGTTTTAATTAAGATGTTACTGGAAATAGTTTGCACCTTTATTTGTTGTTATCGGTTAGGACAACTGATTAAATAGTAAACTGTTAAAGTCTCACAATAAAAACAAATGCTTTTGTTTGTCATTTTGCTATTCGTACAATTTTTGTATAGATATGAACTTGATGAATCACTCATTAACTTCAAGAATAGCCCATCTATCAGTACTATAATATACAAATCACAAAACCTTAGACGTTTATGTCATGGAACCTTATAAATAACCTTATCGAATAAGGAGAAAATTGGGTTCAATAAGCCTAACGTCGCCATTTCTCCTTAACAGCATTAGTTGGCGAATGACCTCAACACTAGAATCAGTAAGGTAATCATCTTTTCATAACACCACTAGCTAGCATACGAAATCAAACACATCAAAGAAGGAATAAGAATGAAGAAATTAGTTGAGCCTAGCCAACCTAGCGCAATCATTTCTCCATAATAGTACAAGCTGGGGTAGATATTCAACTCCGGAAGTAGTAGGGTGGGGGTAAATGTAACGTAATAACATCAGGTGACGTGTGATCTTAACAGAAAGTAGGTGTGACCTGAAAGCTAGCATGTCGGTCTGTGAATCCAAGGATACATGGTTCACGTCCCTTTACCACAAAACTAAAAAAAAAAAAAATCGAGCTCACACTTTTAAACCGAAATGACGATTATACCCTACTGTTCGATTACAGTAGCCCAAGATTTCGCGGTAGGTGCTGTTCACTAGCTGCCTTCGCTCTAGTCTGTCACTTCAAAATTAAGGACGGTTAGCTTTTCGTGAATATCCGAAACACACCAGACCACATGATCTTAGCAGAAAGGGAGAAAAGGGGTTCATTAAACCTAACATCACCATATCTCTGTAACAGCATTGGCTGGCGTATGCTCTCAACAAGAAGTGGAAAGGAAGTTCAATAAACCTAATGTCACCATTTCTTCTTAATATTTCTTTACGGCGTGTGCCATAATCATAAGAACTATGCAGAGTTCATTGAATTTAACATCTCCATCTATCAATGAAAGTCCTAGCTGAAGTGCGATCTCAACACAAGAAGAAGGGGGGGGGGGCATTAAACCTAATCCCATCATCCCTGCATGACAACACTTGTTAGAGTACTACTCCAATATGAGGGGAGAAATGGGGTTCATTAAACAATATTAACTGGAGTATGGTTTAAACACAATAAAAATAATAAAGGGTGTGGATGTGGGGTGGGGGAGGTCGTTAAATTTAACGTCAACATTTTTCCACACTAGCGCTGACTGGCTTACGAACACTGACTGCATTTTGATCAATCAAAACTAATAATCATCTCTCCATGACAGTATTGACAGGTGTCTCTGACTAACACCTCAACTATTCAATGGTTGAAAGAAGGAAAGTCCGCAACCATGAAATTTTATTATTATTTGGCTTTTATCAACTATCCTTCGGACAGACAATAAGAAGTAATAAAAATAAACCCATTAGAGACATTGAATTA